TTTTTTTTTTTTTTTGGGTTTCTCTCTACTCCTTTTCATAGCCTAAAAACCATCCCAATCTATTATCAAAATTATTTTAACCGATTCCGGTCATCTATTTCTCAACAGGTACTAAAACAATATCGCCCAGTCAAGGAATGTATACCTTTAAATATATTTTCAGCAAAACAAAGCAACCACGGCGTCACGAACAAAATAATCAATAAAAAATTTCAATTGAGCAAGTCATGACACTTATCTCAAATCTAGCAGAAATCGTAAACCACAACTAATCAGTTAAATTTGAATGAATGTTCCTCCTAGAGGTACTTAAATTGAGCTTGGCATTGCAATTTGCATGTGATTCCTCGGCAGCACTAGTCCTCTTTTGGGGGAGGGGAGAAGTGAAGAACGTACTTTTCCTTTTTGTGACCCCAGCAAAGCCTTACTTTTTTGCCTTGGCAAATCTGAGGCAACGGTATTTTTCACCACTTACTGTAATTTCAAGGGCTCCATCTTGGTTATCTTGATTTGACGCAGTTCCCATTAAGACACTTTTCTCTTTCTCAAGATTGTCTCTCTCCATCTTCAGCCTTGCTTCTTGACGAGCAATCTCAGCCTGTAACATTCAAAAATTGAGGGCAATAAAGATGATTGTTTTCTCTTTAATAGCAGGATCATGAAAGGAAATATTTGTTTGATAAACGGAAATGTTGTTAGAATGCTCAGTCAATTTCAATCTTCTCTCTTTCTTTCCCAAATGCAACAATATGTATGCTTCCCGAGTAATATGGCACAAATCTTTACAAAACATGAAAACCAGGCTCCTAGGAACGTGTTCGAAGCATTTTATTACCCATTAAGCAAAATATAATGCTATAGCCTCAGGAAGAAACATTCTACAGAAAATCCCAAAGGCGGATTTGAAGGGCAAAGGAATTTCATCTTCAGATCTAATATTAACTATTAAGGGCATAAATTCTTGCAAGCAATTATTTTTGGTACATTTGTTATCTCTAGCTTCAAATTTCAGGGCATTTTATTTATACAGATCTGTTCCACAACCATTAGTTGAGCAATCACCTATGAAGGGGTTTATCCTGCATCAAACACTTCAGTTCTATTGGATAAACTTCTCAATAAAAGCTTATACGAGAATAAAATTATAAAGTAAAATGAAGTAAGTTTCTTCCATAAGTTAAAAAATCTGTAAGCTCTTTTATTTAGCTCTTCCAAAAGCTGATTTTTAACTTATACATAAGCTGATTTTCACTTATGGAAAGAAGTATAATCCATTTACATTCTTATTTTTCTCTATTATAGGTACTTATTGAGTTTACCTAAACAGAAACTTAGTACTCAAATTTGGGAGCTAGAAAACTTCATTTGTTCAGATTTTGATAGTTAAAGAGTCCTTTCTCAGTATACTTTGTGCTTAAAAGCCACTTTGCTTTCTTTTTTCATTTTCAGAAACAGTTCACTAAAACTGCATAAATATCAATATATTTGGTACCAAAAACTCAAATTAGTCTACCTCAGATTGTCATAATTAAGAATCACTTCTTATAATGCCAAGTGGCTAAAAGTCATTTTCATTTGTTTCTTCAATTTTAGAAGCAGTTCACTAAAATTGCATCAATATCTCTCGGATCATCAACTACCTCAAAAATTGATCCACTGCATTTCAGTTTGTCAATTATTCAGCTAAAGAAGAAAATTAGCATTTTTCTAGGATAAAGCCATCTAATCAATCAAGGCCAGCAGGGTAAGATATAATACTCAACAGTGTATTGCAGGCTCACAATTCAGAAATTAGAAGAAAAAAAAATCCTACATCTAGACCAAATGTAAGTCATATCATGAGACATGCTGTGATGTTAGAGAACTATCAATTAAAAGCATCTCAATAAAAATTTCAGCCTTTTCAAAATATCTTTGCAAATTGTTGCCTTCATTATTTTACTTTTAGAAGATTTATATTGCAAGTTTGGATTCCTGTTTTCATGAGAGGAATTGCACCAATTTTATGTAAAAAAATGTGGAAGCTTATTTTAGTTGCTTCTCATCTGATGTGAAAAAACCACGTCTTTACCAAGATAACATACTAAAATAAATGCACTCACTAAATACTAAACTATACATTTTTTAAGAGAATGTTATAGTATTTAAAATTTTAAATAGATTTTGATGGAAACAAAACAAAGTGGTTCAGAATTGAACTATCAATAGATGGATCAATGGCATATATAAATCTGCCTTCTACCAAAAAAATAGACAACAAAAATGCCTTGCTTTTGTGAATTCAGATAGCAACCCAAATTGAAATTCTTCTATTTTGTCTTTGAATAGCAAATAAATTGACATAAACTAAAAGAGAACAGGGACTACTTTAACGAATTCCTCAAAATCTTCTTTTCTTTGTTTCTTAAGATAATACTTTTTTGGGGTTTAATAGTTATGTACTATCAGTGGAAAAAGTTTTACACTGTTAACATATTAGAAATCACTATCAGTATGACATTAAGGTAGTTATTGTAAAAGTCAACAAATTTATCATATATAATGAGTTGTGATTAGATAACTGTATAAAACTGCTTGACAGTGTTAATGCATATTCTAATTTCCCCACTTTTTAAACTGATAAGTAATTTTGTACACTGTTTCTAGCCCCTTCCATTGCATCATTGAGCAATAGGGATAATTTCAAGGAATCTTACAATTTTTTAATTGAATGGGCTAGGTTATATTTTTTAGTTATCTAACTCGCACATATGTTATTGCTTTGAAGACTTCGAAGGAGATGAGCAAAATATATTCTGAATTGAATGAGAAAGTATCAGAAATAAAGCATCTGCAATTTGAGTTGACAAGACGAGAAAATGAAGCAGGGGAGGCTGTTGATAGCTTAAAAAGACTTATCAAAACCTTAGAGAAGGAAAACACCACTCTTAAGGTTGGTATATTTATGCATTACCATATTTGACTGCACCATAAAACGTTTCTACTATTTTTTTGCTTAAAAAATTGATAATGATGCTTTTATATTATTTTGCTTCTTAAATGCACTCTAATGAATGAGTCTATTCCCCTTGTTATTAGATGGAAAAGAATGAAATTGAGTCTGCTCTCGAAAATAGCAGGAAGTCTTTCCCTGATAAAATGATGCCCGATGCTTCACATATTCAGAAAATGGATTCAAGCAATGTTGGTGATGTGAGCTAAAACTTCATAACAATATGCACTTTACAGTTTATGCATTTGGCTCCTTGCTAATAATTATTTTCTTTCCTTTTTGGGGATTGGGCCATTGGCTTTTGGTAACAGATGCCAGATCACTCCAAAAGTTTTCCAGAAAAAGAAGAAATGGAAAGATCCTTACAGAAGCTAAGTAAAGATTTGAAGGAAACACAGAGGGACAGGGACAAAGCTGTCCAGGAATTGGGCCGCCTCAAACAACATTTACTACAAAAGGTTTCATTCTTTTTACTTTAGTTCTTTATCTTTATTTTCTAAAGTGGAACCAATGATGAAAGAAAGACATTCAAGAGACAAAAAATGACTTAGTTGTGTTCATTTTCATTTTTTCATATCTCATTATATATATATATATATATGAAGAGGGATTCACTTACTTTAAAAGTAAGTTTTTGTAAACTTACTTCACTCAATAATTCATATTTTACATCAAATTTCTATATCAGGAGTAACCGAGTAAGTTCTTAATGTATATATCAAGTTCACAAATTTAAATTTTTTTTTGAAAATATATGATATTTTATTATATAGATTCAAATCAATATATAAAATATTTTTATGATTATTCGTTAATTTGAATTAATGAAACGAAGTATCAAATAATTTTCAAATTCTTTAAAAATTGTAAACTTAATCTATACATTAAGAACTTTTAATTTAATGGTTAGATCATTGAAATTTAATGTAGAACATGAGTTATTGAATAAAATAAGTTTACCAAAACTTACCTTGGAGTCAGTGGATTCCCCCCCTCTCTCTCTATATATATATGTATGTATATATATATATATATATATTTTTTTTTTTTCCATGTTAAATTTGACCATCTTGTACCCTTGCTAACTGACCAAACACAGATGACATCATGACAATAGTTTATTATACGATGTTATTAGAAACTGAATCAAAACTCCTAATTGGGGTAAATCTACTGTATTATCCCCTTACAATGAATGATAAAGAAGACTGAAACTATAAAAAGTTAACCTAGGGTATGTGAGAGACTCAGCACTCTCCCTCACCACCCTCTACTTCTTTTCCTGCCTCTCTTCTCCCCAACTCCTTTCTGATAGCCATATGGGTTCACTTTCCCTTCGGACTCCCCTTGATTGCCTTGCAGGAAATGTTACACAAATCATTCATTTTCCCTTGCTTCTCATGCATTCTGTTAAAATAATCATTCAATTCTTTCAATTGCTTCTCTGGCGCTCTTTTATTATGAACCTTAGTAGTATATGATTTTCCATTATATTATTACACTGAAACACAGTAATTATATCTGAATTGAATTGGACTCTTGTTAATTAATGATGTCTGATTTATCTTTTAACATTTTCTTTTCAGTAATAATATGCTGTATGAAGCATGTTTTAAGTGATCCTAATGACATCTTAACAATGCAAACATTCATTGCAATGATACTTTGTTTAACTACATTTTTGTTTTCCTAATAAAACAAGCTTTGGTCATGGTTTAGTTGTCATTCTGTACTTTTGTTGGATTTGTTGACCTACTATTTGTATTTTAATTTTGTCTGACATTGAGTTTCATCTATTTTGTTATCCTCTCTACTGGAATGCTCGTTTTTTTTCCATAATTTTCTGAGTGTGGATGATTTTCATGTGCATTTGTCCTGGATAGATTTAGTATATACATGTTTCTGTGACATCAATGTTTTCCTTACTGATTTATCTAGGAATCTGAGGAATCAGATAAAATGGATGAAGACACTAAAATCATTGAAGAGCTGCGTGATAGCAATAATTATTTAAGGGCTCAAGTATCACATCTTGAGAGAACACTGAAGCAAGCACTTACAAGTCAAGAGGAACTGAAGATGGGAAATAACAGTGAAATTCTGAAATCTAGAGAAGCCATTAATGACCTGAACAAGAAGCTTACAAACTGTATGAGCACTATAGATGCTAAAAATATCGAACTTTTAAATCTACAGACAGCTTTAGGACAGTACTATGCTGAAATTGAAGCCAAGGTACAAAGACATATCACTGTTTCTTTTCTTTATTATTCATAAAGTAACATACGATAGTTGGGCTGTTAATACTTGTCCTTGCCCTTTCATTTTTTTCAGTACAGTTCCTTCTTACATTTTTATATCAGTATTTTTTGATGCTTGTGTCTATAGTTATGTTGATGTGGCTTACATGCACTATATTTGTATTCATTTAGGAGCATTTAGAAGGGGAGTTGGCCCATGCAAGAGAAGAAACAGCTAAGCTTTCTCAACTTTTGAAAGTAAGTCTCTTTCTGTCTCTAAATACAATATTATATGGGTCACCTGAATGTGCTCTTGTTACTACTTTATGCTAGTTAGGTTACCAGTACATTACATTATTACAAGGGCTTTAAATTTGTAATAAAAAATATTTAGTACATACTTCATTTAGTAGCATTAAAAAACAATCAAAATATTTAAAAGAGAACAATTAGTTGAAATTAATTTTATTGCAATATAAATTAATATAGATATAAAATCTTGTGAAGTCTTACCTAAAGAGTAAAGGCACATTTTAAAGTTTAATAAGTGTATGGCTTAAGTTTGTGTTATTTATTTGTAATAATACTTGAATATATTTTTAATTTTATATACATATAAGTTATTACATTTATGTTGACATGTCAATCAATTTTTTTAAGATATAGAAAGCCCATAGAATTGTTTCTCTATCTTTTCCAATATAGTTTGGACTTAATCTTAATCATGTTTTAATATATTTACTCTTAAATTTTCAAACAGAATCATTTTGGTTAAAAAACACCCTTTAATCTTTTAAATTGTTTATTAGTTTTCAAATTCATTGATTAATTAATTTTTATTCCCAATTAGTCATCTAAGTTGTTAGATTAATACAATATTTTCATGAAGGCTAACTCTATTAGTGTTGTCATCTTATGTGGCAAAATGTCATTGGTAAAATGTAGGAATTAGGTAGAATTAATCTTAGTGATGTCGCAGAAGTAGTTTTTTGGAAAACACTGTTAATTTAGTAACTTTGGGAGTTTTGGAATGCAAAAGGGTAAAAGAAAATTTTCATTACTTAAGTTAAAACTCTTCGCATTCAGTCTTATCTCTCACATTTTTCCCAAAAATTTTGCTCAAGTATATTGGTCTAGTAAGTTACTTCATGGCATGCCTAATTTAGTAAGTTGTAGATTGAATGCCTATTGCTTTTACCAGGAAGCAGATCACAGAGAAGATGAATCAAGGAATGAAAAAGAAGAGCTTTTAGCCAAGCTTTCACTATCTGAGAAGGTGCAAACTGAATGGAGAAGTAGGGTAAGCAAGCTTGAGGACGACAATGCCAAATTGAGGCGTGCTGTTGAGCAGAGTATGACACGGTTGAATAGAATGTCGGTGGATTCAGACTATCTTGTTGATAGGTTAGCCTGTTTGTGTTCCTCGTATGTTTTTCCTCCAATATCCACTCGACCATGTGAATTCTAATAAACTGATGACTTTCCTGGATGGGGAATTTCTTTACTCTCTTCTTCTCCTTAATTTCCTATACAGTTAATGTTGGGATCTTCTAAATAAGAATTTTGGCTGAATTTAGACTTGGGATAATTTCTGTTATTATGTGAGATAGTAAATTATCATACTAATCTAAATTGAATTGGCTGCAGGCGCATTGTGATAAAATTACTTGTAACTTATTTTCAGAGAAATCACAGCCGAGAGGTATGAAAATCTTATAATTGTTTGTTTTTTTCAAAATGTATTGTGCTGGACTGGATCTGGAATGGAACTCCATATCCTTTATTATGCACAAAATTGTCATAATTCATGTCATGTGTATGGATACCATAGGGGGTTGCAGAGAGCACCAATTCATGTACTCAGTCAGATTTAGTACACCAAATTTCTGAAATATGGTTAGCATTTTAACCAAGTCCCATGTTTGGTTCAGCTGACTGAAATCAGAGGAAATAATCACCTTTTTCTTAAGTTCTCTCGGAGCAGTTGAAAAAAGCTTTTCTTCTCTCAGAAATAAACTAATACAAACACGTACAGTAAATCCATTAGGACATATGTGAGAAAAATGATTAGACATATGAATGCAATATTGGTAATGTTTTAACCTATGAAATATGAACTGGAAAAGGTTATGAAATTATATTCTGCACTTGCATTTGTATAGTTGCCGCTTGTTTTGTTTTCTTTCCTTAACTTGTACTGCTGATGCTGGCTGTGTGCCGGTGTTATTTTATCTGATTAGTGGGATGTTATGTTTAAATTGATTTTAGGCTTGGTGTCTGTTACATTTGGGTACAGGTTTTGGATCTTATGGTTCGCATGCTAGGATTCTCTGATGAGGAAAAGCAAAGGATAGGTGTTGCACAACAAGGTGCTGCAGGTAAAGGTGTTGTTCGTGGAGTTCTTGCGCTGCCTGGTCGCCTTGTTGGAGGCATCTTGGGAGGAAGTTCGCCTGAAGCAGCTGCAAATTCAGGATCTGATAACCAGGTGATTTCTTCTCATCTAGTATGACTTTTTCTCCTTTGGGGTACATATGGCTGTTTTTGAACAGAACAGAACCATTGATGAGAAAATTGAGGGAATAGATTTATATGATTCTATGTATGGAATATGGATTATTATCTACGAATGATTTTTTTTCCCTAATGAACCATATGCTATCAACCTTGTGTTTTAGAAAATTGTGTCGATCTTTGATCCTACTAGTTGTGTCTTACTATTTACATGCAGTCAAACCTTATGCAATCTTCCATTTTTTATGCTAGCAGATGCTTTCTAAGTTCTATTTACATTTCTTCGTGCAGTCTTTTGCAGATCTATGGGTTGATTTTCTTCTTAAGGAAACAGAAGAAAGAGAGAAGAAAGAATCATCAGGAAATACAGGTAAAGCCATGGACGATGAAAGTCCAAATACTATGTCCGCTACTCCACCATTTTCCAATCGGAGGTTTGACGCTGGAACACCATCTGCTTTTCAAATTACTCAAACTAATCAAAACATCAGTCCTCTCTCTCGTGGCTATTTTCACCATTCTGAACATTTTGATTCCGAGTTCTCAACAGTTCCTCTTACATCATCTGATGGTAAAAATAGTAGTTCAAACCCTCTTCCGAGATACTAAATATACAGTGGAGTCGCAGTTAAACAAAAGGTATATATCATTGTTTGTTAAATTATAGGTATGCGATCTTGTTCAATTAATTCTTTCACATTTAAAATGAGTGCCTTTTTTTCACTTAAGGGGGGACGGGGATCTTCCAAAGTTTTTTCTTTCCATTGTCTTCGGCTTCTCTTTTGATTTCGCGTATATAATTTTGGAAAATTATCCTCATGTAGATGTCATATATCGTTCCCATTTCTTTAATGTATATATATAGTACAATTTTATACTTGAAGCAGTTTGCAGCTATAATATATTCTCTATGTTGTGATGCATGTTTTTTTACCAATGAAATGTTTTACTGTTCATGCATAATTGATATGATCCTATTGGTATTTAGCAAATTTTGTTAATGAGCCGTCCTAATATTGGTATTTAGCAAATTTTGTTATAGTTTTTCGATGCAAGAAAAATAACGATTTTAAAATATATATTTTATATTTTATGTACATAGTTGAAGAAAATGATTGTGACCAGATTTGGTATCAATTGCCGTTGGAAAAACCAATGACAGGATAAGCTGTATCTAATTGAAATCGATTTAAATATAGCCACTTTAGGGTTTAGGGTTTGTAAGCTATGCGCGCTTTCGTAGTCTCTAGATATTGGTTTCTATTGTCTTTTATCATGAAATCATTCTAAAGAATTCAGAATTCATGAGATTTTAGTTAACGCAAACTTTTATCATACATAAACTTGTCAACACCATTAATTTTTCGTGCCTTTTTGTTTGTATCATTTTGTGGTAATTACCAAATTTCCATATATGCAGGGTTATTTTCTATAATCTTTGATGATAATAATAATAATAATAATAATAATAATAATAATAATAGTAGTAAGTAATCTTCAGATGATTTTGTTTAAATGTGAGAGAATAATTATTTTACAATAAAATTATAAAGTAGTGCATTAATTTATCTCTAATAATTTAGTCTAACTTTTGGATGAAAAGGTTATTTGATGACTGATAAATGTTTAGGCTATATCAATACTATATTACTTTCTTTTTCTGTAATTAAGGTGATTTTTACAGTTTTTAAGGACACCTAAAATAATATACTTTCGTGTAAATGCAATTTAAATTATTTTGCATAATTTTTTTCCACCAGTATTTAATCTATTCCCTGTCATTTGCTTCATTTAATTTGTCAGTTTCCTTTGGCAATCTTTCTCAAACATTTTTTCACAGCTTTCCAAGATTATTGTATAATTTCGAGATCCACATTTTTAAATTTAAAATACACAGCTGATCTAGTACCAAAATTTTGCGATGGTGTAACTATTTTTAGGAACGGGGAGAGCCATATCCGCCCGTCCCAAAATTTTTGTCTAAATATACGGATATAGGTAATTTGTGTATGTTACCAATAATTTTGAATATATCAGTTAATTTTTTTTATTCTTTTTCTTAAGTATCAGATTTTTAAGCTTAATGGGTTAGGTTTAGAGCTAACTAATAATACTAAGAATAAGCCAACAGCTGATAGTTATAGTTCAAAAGTGGTTAATAATTTGTGTCTTAATAATATTTATTTAAAAAAATAAATAAAAAGGTAAGTGGTTATTAAAGAAAATAATATTGATTAAAAAGAATTAGTTATTTTTTTTAATTGCTAAAGGATATAATTTTTTTTATCTTGTTTTTTTTAAGCCCTTCTTTCCCCCTTTTTTATTATCCCATATAATCTAAAAAAATTCGTTAGACTTTATTATTGTCGCATAAAAATATTGAAATTTGAGTGATCTATTTTTTTTTTTTAAATTCAATTTTAGTCAATAATCAATCATAAAATAAAAATTTTGTTTCAACCCAATTAAGCTTCCTTCCCATGAATTCGGAAGTTCTTCTCGATTCATTTCCATAACCAAAGATTATAAATGAGCAATTAAAAAGATTTTGGAGCATGTTCAATAAATGTGTAGATGAAAAATGGTTAATAAAAAACATCTTTTGTATACGGATATTACATTTGTTATGGAAAAAAGAATGTTAAAACATAAAAAGAAACGGAAACACTAAAAAAGTACTGCTAACTCGGCTAATTTTATCCAAAACGGATTTAATCCTCAAAATAAGCATATTACTTACAATGCCTTGCCAATTTATTTTCTTTCGGAATATAAGAAAGAAATTTATAATGGTAATTTATCTCAAAACGTCGTTAGATTAATGATTTAATATTTCTTTTAATTCCCCCTCAACATATCAATCCATTGAATTCAAGTTTAAATTATATTTTTAATCCTTTATCTTATTTTTAATTAATTTTAATTATTTATATTTTATATTTAAATCAATTTAATTATTTTAAAATAATTATTTTCAATTTTAAATTTTGTAAAATAATTTTGAATTAATTTTCGACTTATTTAAAAAATTATAATATTAGATCCACCTGTATAAAATTTATATAATTCATTTAACGTTTAAATTCAAAAGACTATAAATATAAATATAATAAAAATATGTAGAAGTTATATTCCATAAATAATTAAAAAATAATTTATAATACGAAATTAAGTTTTTTAGAATAACATCAATCACACCGCAACGCAAAATAATAACGCCAGATATTTTTAGGAAATAAATAAAACGTTGACAATCACCATAAATATTTTTTTGCTTACAATAATGATCGAACGGGTACAAGTCCAACAAACATTGTGATCAGCAAAATCGACATGCTTGTAGCAAAATTAAAAGCTACATCTTGAAGTAAAAACCCATTAGTACCATACCTGCCGCCTAAAAGAAATTCCAAAACATGGCTCGGTATATGGTTTGAAAAAAAGAGGCTCTAGCAAATAAAAAAGACTCTAGTGGAGCCCCCTTTCTGGTTTTGAGAGTACAAATACTTCGACACTAAGCTATCTTCTTGCCTTTCAAGGGGCCTTTTGGTATCTTACTCAACACCTTTGCATCAAACACAGCATACTGCTTTTTAAACTCAATGAGCGCCTTCTCTGCTAGAGGGTCTATCTTGTCCTCATACTTGTCATACAACACAGGAACCGTGTGCAACAATACAAAAGCTGCAAACATAGATTATGCAAATCAGTATAATTTCATAGTTCATATTCGTAGCTTCTAAAAAATTACATATAAAACGAGAATAAATTATTCTTACCAATGTAGAACAAGGTCAAGAAATTGCACCAGCTCCCCACAATTGATAGAATCCACGTTCCAACAATGACCTATCATAACATCAAAATCAGAAAGCTCAGCAAAATATAATGACACGACAACAATAATTCAGTTCTTACTATAGTCCAACCTATGTTAATCCCAAGTCAACATCTTGGGAAGTTCAAGTATAGCATTTCTTACTGAAAGCTAAACCAACACTAAATTAGGAATCATGGGTACCGCAATTCATAGTCCAACCTATGTCAATCCTAAGTCAACATCTTGGGATGTTTAAGTGACGGCATTTAGCCTACACATTTCATGAAGATTACAAGTAAAAAAGGAACATATAGTGTGCATGAATTAAATTAGAAGTTTGCAGGATATATACAATGAGGAATGTCTTCAAATCTCTTCCGGAACCAATTGCACGCAAGGCAGCTAATCCGCGGTTGAGTTCAATTATCAATGCAGATGTAACTTGGCGAAATGGTTCTTCAGGAACCTGAACAAGTGGGATGTGTGGCGGTGCCCTGCAACATAATTTGATATGACATGCATATTGGTTAGATAAAAACATGGCCTATGCCTTGGTTCAATAGATTAAGAAGAGCCAGAGTCTTACTTGTGAATAAAGGTATGAGCATTGGCCCACAAAAACAAAACCGCAAGCAATAGAATCAAAATGTGACAGACTAGAGTAAGCAGGTGGTACTCAAGCAACTCAAAAAAGATCCACACAGCAGTGGCTCCACCAAGTACACCACCAGATATCTTCTTGTTCCTCCACAATAGCACATCAGCAGCTGCAATTAAAGATTAAGCCTTACATTACATCTCAAGAAGTACATTAAGAACCAATAAACAAGAGAATGTTTAAGTAAAATACAATATAGAAGTCTTCAGGTGCTCAAAACAAGAATCATGTCTTTCCACAATTTCTCATTTCATATATACCTTCGATCTACATGATAAGTCTATTGGCTGATTGATGGGAGTGCCAAACATAAATAAGATTCAACCGATAAATAATCGCATAGAAAAATCCTACTAGAGAACTACACAAATTGATCTTTTTATCCAATACAAAATATTGGACACTGAATGATTTGAAATCCAATGTCAAACTCAAGGGAACTCGAATTCTATTTCCGAAAAACAAACTAGCATTCAAAACCTACTTTTCCAGCATTGACATCGAACCCTTCAAAAACCTTAACTCTATTTCCTAACAAATAAATAAAACAGAGATTTCCAGCATTTTCAATTTAACAAAACGCGGCATCATTTAAAATCCACTTAACACCAATCAGTGAATCATATATATAGAGAACTATCACAGATCTAACGAAACCACAAGTAAACTAAACAGTGTCCACAAAGAGAGAGATAAATTCTTACGTTTTCCGCCGCCGAGGATGGAGTGAACGGGTTTCTCTCTCCCGAAGAGGCGGAATACCTTGTCCTTAATCGATGATGACGTGTCCTTTTTGCCGGAATCTGAATCGGAATCGGAGGAAGAATCGTGGCCGTGGAGCTTCTCGGCGATCTTATTGAGCAGAGATTCGCCACTCGCCGGTGCCGGCGCGTGCTCCGATTCGTCCGCCATTGTCTTTGAAAACCCTAAATCTCCGAATGCGGAAGCGCTGTTGCAGGGATTCGAGCTTTTCGGCTCGTGATGAGGGTAAGGAGTAGCGTGCAAAGCGCTCGGTGTGTCCCCTTATATAGTGTTGTGCATTACGAGGTTCGGGCTCCGAAGCTCAGGCTCGGGAGACATTTGAATCTGGCACGAGTACGAGAGAGAGTGAAGCGGAGATGACGCCGTTTGAGATTTGATTTGATGCTGTTGAGGTTTTCTCACGCCGTTGGATGTGACTCCGTTTTCTGTTCAAAAGCCAAAAGGTGATACACTGTATAAAGTTTACTTCCTGTCCAAATCATAATTTATTTATTTTTATGTTGCAGTAGTATATATTAATTAAGGGAAAAAAATATGTGGAGTAGGTAGTACTATTTTTAATACTTTTAGACTTTGCTAAGATCAAACTTTGTATTATTATAAGCTAATACTGATTATTAAAGTAAAAAATTTAATTAAAATAAAAACTACCTTATTAAACCGCATGAATTATTATGTTAAAATTTTTGTTATATATATATATATATTTAATTTAAATAATGATAAATTACTTTTCTATCTCATTTAACTTGTTATTTAAAGTAATGTATAACTTTAATAAAAAATAGCTATATTAATTTCGAAAGTAAAATTATTTTCTCTTCGTAAATATCTTAGTTTATAAGTATATACTACAATATTAATTGTAACAAAAAAATTAATTAAATAAATAGTAAAGTTATAAATATATTACTAAAAATAATTAAATTATAATAGGCAATAAATATAATGTACAAAAGTATCTCTAATACTTGTGGTATAAAAAATTTATTTTATTTTATTAAATGAACCTATACATATTATCTTGATTTTAAGCAATTCACTAATTTATCACTTTAATATAAACTAATATTTTAATATGTGAAATACATAAACATATTTATTATATATAATTAAAATTTATAATAAATTATATATGTAAATAAATATTATATTAAAATATATAAATTATA